GACCATTAATGATAAGTAATAATAATAGTGACAACCAGATTAATATTAATATAGTGTTTTACCAATTGCAGAGTGCATCACAACATTATCTCATACTGTCCTTCCAATGCCAAGTGGCATATGCTGGAGGTGTCCTTAGCTCCTTCCCAGATGAGAAAACTGACACTTAGAAGTCTTTAAGTGACAGAGCTAGAAGACTCAAAATTGGATGTAAAACCATATCATTTGACATTTGAAATCGTAATTAACAGTCATTAAGACAACACATGTGGCTTGATACCAATATATATACATAAACATAAATATCTTTGAACGGGTTCTAAAGAGGTAGATCTGTTTTTGGTGTAATTCAAATAAATAGTTAAATATGCTCCTTGATTTTCACATTTGTTTCTAAATGTGATAGAAGATAACAAATGATTTCTTTTATCATATTTTTAGTGATTTTCTTCCCCTACGGTTATTTACTTTGTGCTATTTGTTTGGTATTTCCCCACGGACACGGTCAGTGTTTGGGAAAGGCTCTAAGTTTCTCTGTTTTAGTTTCTGTTAACCGTTTCTCCTTGAAACTTGTAGAAGAGAAACTCTGGCCCCTGTGTATATCCCTGATTGCCAGTGACTTATTATCTATTTTGCAGTCAAAATGAGACTGTGCTTTTTCAAACTTGTTTCTTCTGAAAACTATGTTCTGAACTGCAGCACCTATTCACCTCCCCTATCTACACATTTGAACGTGAAGGCTAAAACCTCATTTATGCTTTTGATAATGCTACTGCTTTTTGCACCTCCTCTCTGGACGTCCTGTCACATGCCCTCACTGCCTCCTTCAGCAAGCTTGTGTTCCATCATCTTACATTTTCATAACATTTGCAAGCAGACCCTTTATTCCGTTCTCAGCTTTAGCTTTCTTTCTTACTGTGCCATGTCTTTGAAGTTCAGGCTGTAAACTTTGCCATCCTCTCTCTCTATTCTGTGTCTTGTGCCTCTGATACTCGTTATTCTTATCTCTGATTACTTCCCTCAGGTCCTATTCACTCACCGTGGCCCCTTTCCACTCCCAGGGCACCTACTGTTAGATCACTCACAGAACCCTGGGATAGTGAGTAATTGCTTCCTGAACACTTTCCATTTCTTTTTCCTATTAGCTCTCTTAGCCTGCTGTATTGTACTCAACATGGTCTCCATTTTTTTCAAATTGCTTTTCTCCTTTTTTTCAGATTAACTTACCCTAATCATTAAAATTATTTGAAATAACTCTATCGTGCTATCTCTATAACTCAGACCGAACATGTGGACGTCTTTAGTCTTCTTTTTGTACCAAAGAATGGCTCCACATCTCTTATTCTGATAGAGTGCTTTGTTCCGTATGCTAAAATTATTTAAACCTAACCTCCCCAGATTTTTCTTTTTTTAACAACGGACCAAAGATAGACTGAAATTTTCCTTTGCATTACTTTCAGAAAATGGGCTATACCGACCAAAACTCTACTGTAAATAAGATTGTGGGAGCATATTTAAACTCCTTGAAGTACACCATACATTTGATGATAACTATATAATTTAATGAACTATAAGTGAGTTATGTATTATCAACCAAAACAATCGAATTAGGACCTTTACTGGGTAATTGGTTCAAAAACAGACATTTAAAAAATGTCTACTATTTACATTTCATTCATTTAAAAAGAGCTTCTCCTAAGTTTGCTTTAGAGAGGGCTTGGTTTTGTTAAGAATGTTCTTCTATGGAAGTTTTTTGTTCATAATATACTTGCCACTGGGCTCACTTTTTTTCTGTTTCCTGATCTTATGACATGTTCATTTACATCAAATTCTGACAGTCCAGTGCTTCCTGTTCATATTTTTTCTGAGCTGTGATTTCAGTGGCTCTGAGTTTTCATTCCTTAACTTTTTTTTTTGAAAGGCTTCCTGCCTTTTTTTTTTTTTTAGGTGAAATTCATTAACCTCTTTAAAGTGAACATTTCAGTGACATTTAGAACATTCACAATTTGGGGAAACCACCACCTCTACCTAGTTCCAAAACCTTTTCATCATCCTGTGTACAGTAAGCAGCTGCTCCTCATTCCCAGCCCCTGGTGACCACCAGGCTGTATCTGTTTTTATGGATTGACCTCTTCTGGATATTCCGTAAAAATGGAATCAAATAATATGTATTTCTGTCTTCCTTTACTTAGCACGTTTTCAAGGTTTGTCCGTGTTGTAGCCTGAATCAGGACTTTCTTCCTCTTCACAGCTGCATAATATTCTATTGTAGTTAGAGACCACAATTTATTTATCTATTCATCCCTGATGGACATTCGGGCTGTTTCCACCTGTTGCCTATTAGCAAGAGTGCTGATAGGAGCATACACGTATAGGTATTTGTTGGAGTATGTGCTTCAATTTTGGGGGATATATATGTACGGGCGGAATTTCTATGTGATACAGTAATTCTATGTTTAACTTTTTGAGGCACCTGCCAAACTTTTTTCCTCCTTAACTTTTTGAGATTCTCTTCAACATGGAAACTAAAGTTTTAGACACTGTATCCCTGAAAGTTAGCATTTCCTGAATTGCATCCAGAATTTTTTTGAATCAAACTCATTAACTATTTGATTATTGTATCTGTTCCTTTGAATGATATGAGCTTCAAGAAAGGCATCCTTACATTAAACACGGTTATATAACAGAAGCTAGAATTTTCTCTGGTATGTTGGGCATTGGGAGAGGGGACTAACTAATGACTCTGGTCATTGAAAAAGAAGGCCGAACAATTGCCGGGGTCACCAATAAAACTCACTCAGCTGCATTGTCAGTGAAGAAAGAGTCTACAGTTTCACAGAGGATTGTAGTAAGGTCCTTAGTTTCAAGTAATTTGTATTTCTATTTCATTTACCAACTTGTTTATGTGTTTTTAATATAACTAACAAATCCTACTTTGAAGACAGCAGGGGAGAAATGCAAGAAGGAAAATAGGGAAGAGAAAAGGAGAGAAAAAAAAACCTGAGGTCAAAAACCTAATGTCACATGAAGGGAAATATTTTTTAAAAACAGCTTTGTCGGGGTGCCTGGGTGGCTCAGTCGTTAAGCATCTGCCTTCAGCCCAGGTCATGGTCCCAGGGTCCTGGGATCGAGCTCCGCATCAAGCTCCCTGCTTAGCGGGAAGCCTGCTTCTCCCTCTGCCACTCCCCCTGCTTGTGTTCCCTCTCTCACTGTGTCTCTCTCTGTCAAATAAATAAACACATCTTTAAAAATAAATAAAATAAAATAAAATAAAAAATAAAAACAGCTTTGTCAATTAACCCCGTGGATTATTCATATTGAGAATCATTTTTAATAAAATACTCCCCTGTCTGTTCAATTCTCTTTATTTTTCACAATTAATATTTATATCTTTCCTGTGGGAGTTACCTTCTTTGTTGGAAATTTAAATATCCCAATAAAAGGCCTTTAAATGGTTTTTTTTTTTTAATTAGCCATCCCTTCTCCTAACTATTTAGGTGTCAAACTGGGTATTTAAAATTATTATATAGATAAATTGTAGATGCGCCTTCATATTTGAGTATTCCACTATTGTTTCTCCATGGCAGGGAAACTGCTGATGAAATGAAGATCATTCTAGGTGAGAATATTTATTTTCATCTCACCTCTTGCAGCTTTCTGTAATGTTTTAAGGAAAATTAAATAACCCTTGAGAATTGAAATATAAGGATGAAATTACATATTATTGTGGCCATGCTATGTCACATTTCTTTTATTAAAAATGAATACATCAGTTTAGATTTATTTGACAATGGTTTATGCCTTCAGAGTCCAAGCTTTAAAGGTTCATTCTGTACGGTAATACTTCAGCAAGATACATCTCCTCGTCTGCAGGATCTCATTTATAAGCTAGACTCACCTTCTGCTTCCTGCAGTAATAAACGCTCTTGCCTGCAAGATTTTAGATGAGATATTGTGTTCCCCCTCTTATCCCCTTTGCAACCCAGCACCCTGTTAGAAGGGTGTTTCTTTTTTTGTGGTCTTTAAAGGGGAAATACTCACTTGACTCATTTTTCCAAAGCAGCTCTTTTGTGTTTGGAATTGCTTTCTGAATACTGTCTCTCATGTTACTGTTGAGGTGTTTTGTTATACGTGAGATAGAAAATAGGAAAAACCACTTAGATGACTGCTTTCTCGATTAAAAAAAATATCGCTTCAATTCAATAAAAAATATTTTTCTCGGGTCTCTATGTCTTTGAGGCTTTTGAGGTTTAAACAACGTCTATAACAACGGGTGGGGAGGGAATGTATTTAAATAGGCACAGAGAGCAATGTAAGAAACCTGCCACCCAACCACTTTAAAACCCACTTTCACAGGAGCGATTTTTAAAATAGAAGATGATATACGCTCTCAGAGCATGCTTCCTTGTGTGTGCAGGGCCAAAAATTCTCCTATTGTCCTCCCACAGACTCTCCTTCCCAGAAAATCATCAGACTCATTTCCCAGCCGTGGTTGGCTTAGAGGCCAAAGGAAGCCCCATCAGGACTCCGCATAGGACTGGTCCATTCTGGGTGCATCCATTTCCCTGCCATGTTTCTGGCCAGGCCATCTCTTCTCTAGCTCTCTGTGCAGCTCTCCTCCCTAAGGAAGAGGCTTTCTGCTGCAATATAGGTTTCAGAGAGCTGTGGAACATTTGCAGCGTACAGAGAGCACGGCCAAAAATGTGCATTCACTCCAGTGATAATGCTGGGAGGAGGGCTGCACAGCATCTAAGAACCTGAGCGCCAGACCGAGGAAGACTTGTCACCTGACAACTGGGCCTTGGCACAGGACAATTAGACAATATCTTGAGCCTCTGTTTCCTCATCTGTGAAATGGGGACAATTTCTGCATTGGAACTGGTTATAAGTTTAAAAGAGTTATTGAATGATAAATACATGGTATTACTAGCATTTTATTTTAAATATATCTTCTTGTTTTTAAAAGATGTATTTTTTTCTGCGCAGGCGCACTGAGTGAACCAAGATGGCGGCTCCCGTGGATCTGGAGTTGAAGAAGGCCTTCACAGAGCTTCAAGCCAAAGTTATTGACACTCAACAGAAGGTGAAGCTTGCAGACATACAGATTGAACAGCTAAACAGAACAAAAAAGCATGCACATCTTACAGATACAGAGATCATGACTTTGGTCGATGAGACTCACATGTATGAAGGTGTAGGAAGAACGTTTATTCTTCAGTCCAAGGAGGTAATTCACAATCAACTGTTAGAGAAACAGAAAATAGCAGAAGAAAAAATTAAAGAATTAGAAAGCGAGGGAGAAAGAGGCAGGCAGAGGGAGAAGCAGGATCCCCACTGAACAAGGAGCCCGATGTGGGACTTAGTCCCAGGACCCTGGGATCATGACCTGTGCTGAAGGCAGACCCTTAACCGACTGAGCCACCCAAGTGTCCCTACGCTTTTTTTTTTTTAATAAAGAGGAATTATGCTGTAAAAAAAAAAAAAAAGATGTATTTTTTTTTTTAGAGAGAGAGAGAGACAACAAGAGTGGGAGGGGCAGAGGGAGAGGGAGAATCTCAAGTAGATTCCATGCTTGCCTGGAGCCCGACGTGGGGCTCCATTCCAGGACCCTGCGATCACGACCTGAGCCGAAACCAAGAGTCAGATCCTTAACCGATGGCGCCACCCAGGTGCCCCTATTTTAAATATATCTTTAGAATAAAGGAACTATCATTTAAAACCAAATCTAATTACACAGAATACATAGAATTGAAGTCTTTTTGGAGTTAAAATTCCCCAATTCCTCATCTTCCAACATCATCAAACAGAACAATAGACACAACAAAAAGCTCCTGGAGAACTTTTAGAGATCTCAATTTGAAGTGTGGAACATGAAGCTAGAGGATGTGTATTTTCCTTTCCCCCTCAATTAATCTGTCTATGCCCCATTCCTACTTATCTAGCTCCATGCAGCTATATGGTGTCTGGAGGCCCTTAAAAGATTTTTATTTTCTTTTTCCTGAGATGATAAATATTTTGGCATGACTGATTCTCGAATGTTGAAAGACTGGAAATGGAGGGAGAAAGTCAGGCCTTTCAAGCTGTAACTGGAGGAAATATTCTTAGCTCTGTTTCCCTTAGCTATGTTTGGTTTAACTGTACAGTTTAATTACATCGCAATAAAAAAGCACATTATGAAAGTACCCGTGCCAAGGACCACATACAAAGAGAGCACACTCTTTATCTTGTTGTATACGGGAATAATCCTAGAATGATTTTCTACAACATAGAAGGTAAAATATGTGTAAAGGGATAATAAATGCAACAGTGCTCCTACTATGTGCTGGACATTGCTTTAGATGCACTGGTGCAGATGGTCCATAGATAAACTAGTCCCTGCCTTCTCAGAGCTAATGATCATGGGAGAGAAATAAGACAGTTCCACAAATATCAAAACTATAAATCATGTGGGAAGCGTAAGAAAGGTTAAAAAGTATTTATGGGAACAAAAAATAATGGAAGTGAATACTTCCTGCTGAGACCTTTAGGAAGGCTTGTGGAGTGGTGGCGTTTAAACTGAATAGGATTTCAACAGAGGGGACAGATGAGGTTAGGATGATCCAGAAGAAAAAAACTGAACAAAGGCACGAAACAGCAAGTATCTCACGTGGCTGAATACATAGGAGCAGTGAGAGAGAAGGCATATTCTGGTCACATCATGGGACACATTGGGGAGGGTGCACATCCATTAGGGATATTGGCAGGACATGAAAGATTGTGGAGGAAGAGTAAGGAAGAAGGAAAGATCTCAGAGGACATAAAGATATCCAAGGAGAGACCATTCTAGAGAAGCCAGAAAGAGAAAGTGTTTACTGCTAGGGTGGGGGGGGGGGCAGTGGAAAAAAAGGAATAAAGGAGAGAACAATTGAGGGGATATGCCATTACTCTCCTCTGGACATGCAGATGTTTCCAGGTTGATGCAGAGAGAACAGAGGAGATGAAAGAAGGACCAACCAGGAAGCACTCTGTCAGCCCTCAGCTTAAATATGACTTGGCCAGGAAGTCTTCTTTGTCCTTAACCCTTCTGTCTAAACTAGGTCAGATTCCCCAGCTCTCTGCTCTGTTATTCAGGATCCCAAAAGGACATAGGTGGCACACACAAACTGGAAAACTGTTGGGTTCAACAAGGAGATGATTCGCAAAGACACCTGCAGGGTTGAGGGGAACCAACAGGGATGGTGAGGAATGCCAGACTGGTACACGGGAGCTGTGACAGTCCCTAGGCCTGAGTGACAAGAAAATGAAGTGGTTCCCAGAGACCAATGCAATCACTGCCTCACCGTGGTGGGGCTGGGAGGGAGCTGGGAGGTAATTACCATGACCTTGATCCCCTTCTGCCCTCCTGTCTTCTGCTGAACCCAAAGGGAAGCCAGACAGCAAGGAAATTCCTGGGTGTAGCCCAAAGAGGTCCACCTCTCAGGCCACAGAGCAGAGAGATAAAGCAGGATTGCACATGGAAGGGCCAATGGAGATTTACCTTCTGTGCTTTCATAGTTTCTCGGTTTCTTATTTATGGCTCCTGTCACAGTTATAACTAAAAAATGGATCACATAATTAGTTGTTTAGGGTCTATCTTTCTATTCAAATATAAACTCAGTGAGGGCAGATACGCTTCGGGTCTTTTTCTCTGAGCATTTCTGGTACCTGGCCCAGTGCTTTATGCCTCAGAGTTCTCAGTGATTAATTAATTAAATTAAAATCAACTTTATCTTCTTTAATGTATATTGCAGGTGTTTTGAAAACAATAAAGTTCAAAAGAATTCAAATGAAATATACTTTACACTGAGCTTTGGATTAATTTTAAGCTATACCTAGGAGAAAAACTGTGATGTTGAAAGTTCTTATTCCTAGTTGTTCCTATAATTTTATTTTTTTCGCTGTTTTTCTTCCCTGGATGTAGACCCTTGGAATAGATCTTTGTGTGATCAGCAACTTGAGGCTGAAGGTCCTGCATGTCCGTCACCACTCCACATGTAATTATGGTGACTGGCCCTATAGGAGAAAGTTCCCTCACAGAACCTTTCCTGTCTCTGAATCTTCTACGGACTGCAGAAATTGCTGACTTATCTTATTTGCCTTGTGTTCATCAGATAAGGGTCAATAAGTCTGCATTGACTAAAAAATTCGCTTAAATCAGTAACAGGATTCTTTATGAGTTACGTGTGGGGAGAGTGGTCTACCAGAGAGATGTTAACCGTGAACTATGATGGTTACAAGGGAGAGACATATAAAGTAGGGAGAGTCATTCATCTATTTATCATTATTTATTAAGGAAATCCTATCTGCTAGACACTGTGCTAGAAACTCAAAGGGACATCATCATGAACACAATAAGCATATTCCCAGCTCTAAAAGAATTTGCAGCATTATGAGAGACAGACAACAAGGAAAGAGGGGGATAGGGTGTAGGGGAAGAGTCGGCTACCCTGCAGCTATGGGAAGGGCCACTGGTTCAGACTTGAGGGTGGAGGGAAGAACACTTATCTGGAGAGAGTGACTTCTGGGCTGTGCCCTAAGGGAAGAGTGGGAGGTAAGGTGAGTAAGAGTGTGTTGTATGTATAATGGATGCCATTAAAGGGTGTGCTAAACTGTGTAATTTATATTTAAACAGTTAACTCCTCCTGGCTGTTTTGTGCAAAATAGACTGGAGTTGGTCAGGGGTGGAAGCATAAACCCTTTTACGAGAACAAGGTCCTGGGGCGCTGGGGTGACTCAGTTTGTTGGGCGTCTGTCTTCGGCTCAGGTCATGATCCCAGGGCCCTGGGATAGAGCCAGGTCTGGCTCCCTGCTCAGTGGGGAGCCTGCTTCTCTCTCTCCCTCTGCTTGTGCTGTCTGTCAAATAAATAAATAAAATCTTAAAAAAAAGAGAGAGAGAGAGAACATTGTCCTGGAAGAGAGGGGCAATAGTAAACAGAAAAAGACATAGGCAGATTCTAGATCCTTGTTGAAGTGAGGCAGAGGAAGAAACAAGTTGGGGGGAAAAATGCCCCTTAGATGTTTGGCTTGAGCCTCTGGAAGGACAGTGGTTCCACTATCTGAACAGTGAAGACAGGAAGACAAATGATTTCAAGGGGTGGAGGATGCTTTGGACAAGTAAATTTTAGATGCACAGCAGCCACCGAAGAGGAATGGTAGAGGCAGAAGCCAGACTGAAATTAGTGGAAGAAAGAAATGAGAATAACGGAGTAGAAACAGTAAGTGTAGAACCCATCTGGGAATATTTTGCAGAGAAAAGCAAACAAGAAATAAGGAGACAGCAAAAAGGAAATGCGGGGTAAAGGGCGGTTGTTGTCTTAAATAGGATGCAGCCGAGCGTGTCTGGAGTGCTGACGGGAATGATCCTGTAGAAAGAGAGACTGATAATGTTGGGGTGAGAGGAAATAATCCAAGGAGCGAAGTCTTTGAGAAGGACAGAGATGGTAGCCAAGATGCAAGAAGAGGAAGCTAGGAACAGGAAGAGGGAATACAGGAAGGCAGAGAACGTGAGTAGTGGGCAGGTTTTTTCTATTTGGTAATAGTAAGAAGAAAGAGTCTTAATTTTATTTTTTCAGTGAAGAGCGAAGAAAGCGGGACTGAGGGAATAAGAAGGTGTGAGAGTGGTTTCACCCAGTGGGAAAGCACACTCACTAGAGAAACGTACTAGGATCGCTGGGTACCCTCCCGTGTTCGTTTGGGGCTTGTTGTCATGATCTGGATGCAACCGGCCACCCCAGAAGTCCTGTGTTTCATTTTCCTAACAACATTCAGCAACTTTGGTGCAGACGTGTGTTCAAGCAAGTGGGAGTTTGGACGGATGAATGCGATCTCTTCATCAGAGGGCCAAGTTTGTTGAGGGTGGTTGCCAGGGAGTGATGGACCGTGAGATCTTACCTAGGAAACAGGGATATGAAAACAGAAAAGGAATGATGAATAGTAGAAAGCGGTTACTTAAATATGTCGGGTGGGAGTGAGAGGGCGGGTCAAAGAATTAGTACGGTCGGTGTGTAGGGGAACAAGTGGGCTGGAAAGATAGGAGGTGGTATTTAAGAAGTAGTGTGGTGCAAGTGCAGTTTCCGAGGGGTGTCATTACTGGTGATGACCAGAGTCATCACCACGGGTGTGGATGGCTGAGGTAAAGAAAAAGCGTACTGGAACTGGGGGCAGGGGGGTGGGGTGCCAAGACCAGAGAGTCCAGGCTGTGCCAACCTTGTGGATGTCAAACATCCCTGAGAATAATGACAACTGTAGGGGCGGAGAAGACAGTGAACACAAGTCTCTTAAGAGAGGATTCTAGGAAGGGAGTCAGTAAATGACAGCCAAGAAGGGGAAGCAAATGTGGCAAATAAGAAGGCAGGGGAATCAAAAGATCTGGTCTGTGAAGGAAGAGAAATGGCTTGGGTATGGAACTGAGGAGCATTTTCTGCTTTACTTCTGGCCCTGAGGTGAGAGGAGGATGTGAGGGCTGCTGGGGGAGTGGTATCCTCAGGGAACAGTCAGGTACATTCCAGAAGGTGGAGACTTGGGGGATTTTGCTGATCATGGTTCTAGAAGGCATGGGAAGGGCTAACAGAAGTCAGGAAAGGCTGAAGGACCACCTAAGATTAGGCACTGTGTGAAGGGTAGAGTCTGGAAAAGGGACAGGGAACAATACAAGAGGGTGAGGGATAAACTGGAGAGAGTCTTGTGACCACAGACAGGAATGGAGAGGAACCTGTAAGGCTGAGGGGAAAGAACCGTTTCTTCTGAGGTCTCAAAAATAAATGTTTCCCCCTGCTGTTTCCCTGAAATTGATACTGGCTCTCTTTTAAGGAATGAAGGGGGTGCCAGAAGAAGGAAAAGAGGAGAAAAATTGAAGGGAAGAGAAAAAAAAATTTCTTTCAGTCATTTACAAAAGTTTTTTTCCTGATCAAAATATTTTTCACTGTTCTTTCCTGACAATTCGCAGAGGATGGAAATGTTAAGAAGAAAGGAGCAATGGCTTATAATTTCACTACCAGAGAATACCAGTGCTAGCTAGCATTTTCGCAACATTCTTGCCTGCTATCCCCAACACACATACGTTTTAATTTTCGCTGAGATGATACAGATACCGAGGGTCGCAGTGGGAAGGAGGACAGCTGAGGAAGCTCCCCTTCCAGAGCCCTGATGATCTCAAAGAGAAGTGGGGGTTTGAGGGGTGTTTGGGAAAGTGGCAAATGTCCACAAAGACTGCTCTGGTGACGTCAGCAGAAAATCAGCGTGGGATGGGTAGAGTTACCGTGTAACACCGAGCACTTAGATAACTGGATTCTGCCAGTTTCCCCCCCAGGATTCGCAATGTGGGGATTCTGCCAACTCCCCCTACCCCCCTACACCCAAATTAGAAAAAAAGTCACTGGGGAGCATTGGTCATTCTATAAAACTCATAGCAACTTTTAAAAGATCACATCAGCCAAACTGAGTTTCCAATTCTCCCCTGTAATTGCTACGAATGCCATTAGTAGATACGGTGGGATGATTCTTCCTTTCTCCCTAGCTGTTAGCTTAAGAAATGAAATAGAGAAAAGAAAAAATTCTAACAAATAAATAGACTTTAATTCAGATCTTGACACACATCGTCAAAGAGGACATGACTTCAAAGAATACCGTGGGCAACAAGGGGAGCCTGACTCCCCATCTAAAACAGAATCACCCTGCATTCACCCTGACTTAGATAACATAATTGAGAGTTATGTAAAAGTTTTAATGTTTCTAAGTCTTTCAAATACACTCTAAAAGACTTCTAAAGAGATCCTAAACAAAAGCTCCACATTTTAAAAAAAACCTGATATGCTTGTCTCCCCTTCTGGTGTATAATACAACTCCCAGTAATTCTGTTGCTGTTAAAAGTCTTAGTCTCCAAGGTCACGGTTCTTGCTCTGGCTTTCTCTTGACAGCACCGAGGCATGAGGTGGCAGCAGGTGCACGAACTGCGGAACTGGAGAGCGGAGAGGTGGAGAGGTGGACAGTGCCAGGCCAGGAGGACTGCGGGGCCTGAGCAGGTGGGCCAGGGGACGGGTGGGCAGCAGAAAACAAGGAAATAAGGAGGATCCCTATCAGGCCTGGGACACCATGGGGTCTTCGGTCCCTGACCAGAGGCAGAGGCTGGGGAGAACTAGGGGGCAGGAACAGCACCAGGCAACTGCAAACGGAGAGGCGAAGTGTGGCACTCAACGTGTCAATGGAACTTGATCCTTGGAAAAAACTTCCCTCCTGCCCTCGCATCAGAGTCTTTCCCAAGCCACAGTGGCTACGGGTAAGCAAGCAACATAGACACGTGAGCAGGTGAGGGGCTTTTCCTTTAGATGCAGCCTGAAAAACAAATGCATCTCAAATCCTCAAGAATCTTTTCCCTTAGGTTTTGAATCTGAGATAAAAATTCTCCTGGGTTTGTCCTTACTGAATGGATAAGGGTTCCCAGCGAATAGATTTTTTTCTTTTAATTAACCAGGCAATTGTGTTCTTATCCATTATAAGGAGGACCCTCAAAGGACATCTTCTGCCCATGGAGTCTTATGTCCTTCAGAAACCAAAGATGTCCTCTTATCGCTCCCTTCTTGCTTAAAGCAACAGGGACAAAGGAGGAAAACATAGTCAAACCAACACCCATGACTTATTTCCTATTCCCTCCTTCTGATTCTTCAATGCTTTTCCTCTTTCAGTCCAGCTCTTCAATTTCTGCAAATCTCTCCTCTTACTCAGTGTTTCTGTGTATTTTATCTGAGAGCTAAATCTGAGAATAATAATAGCTACCTTTAGAATAGTGCCGGACATAGAGTAAGTCCTCAATAAATAATCGATTGAATTAATGTATAAATGATTGTCATTATTAGCTGAATAAGCACTTATTATGTGCCATTTTAGCATTTATGTGCATTTAACATTTATGATTTCATTGTACCTTCACAATAGTTTGAGATTGGCATTTTTCTCCCCATTTTACAGAAAAGGAAACTGAGTCACAGAAAGGTTATGCTGCCTCTCCCAGCATGTACCAATAACGCATGTTAGTAAGTGGCAGAGTCAAGATCCCAAAAGTAGCAGTGTGGACCAGATCAAACTCTCTATGATGAGGGTTTTAAGTGCAGTATGGTCACCATTATAATCTTAGGTGGGATTGGGAGAATTGAATCTAGGAGGTTGAAAAGATATTTTGTAAGGATTTTTTAAACTTTTGATTATTAACAATTTTGAACAAATAAAAATAAGTAGAATCGTATAATGAACATCCGTATATCATCATCCAGGTTCAAAAATTATCTATCTTGTTTTATTTAAACCTGCAGTCCCCACTATTGTCCTAAATCATTTGAAGCAATCCCCAGACAAATGTTATTTCATCTGTAAGTATTGTGTATATCTCTAAAAGATACTGAGTCTATTTTAAAAGCTCAGTATTATTTCAGAAAAAAATAAAATAAAATAAAAAATAATGAGACTATTCTGAGTCTTTAAACACTTGTTTTTTATTTTTTTAATAAGATTTATTTATTTTAGGAGAGCAAGAGAGCATGTGAGCAGGGTGGGGGGCAGAGGGAGAGGGAGAGAATCCTCAAGCAGACTCCCCACTGAGCGTGGAACCCAACTCGGGGCTCAGTCCTGGCATCCTGAGATCATGACCTGAGCCAAAATCAAAAGTCAGCCACTTAACTGACTGAGCCACCCAGGCACACTTTAAACACTTAATTTTTAAAAATCAAATACTATATCTTAAAGTGGAATGAAAAAGGGAGAAAGCTGTTGTCTGATGCATATAGGTGTCCTGAAATGTAGAAAGCCTAGGTTCCTCTTTAACTGAGGATATTCATTGAAGGTAGGGTGAGGTTACAAGTGAGGACACTTAGTACTAGGAAATATGCTGCAGTTCAAGTATTGAGATTTTGTTCTTTTGTCCTTGAATATGATGCTGGGGAAAATGGGCTTCCTATACATCTGATCCCCCATCACCAGATTTGTGACCTGCCATCTTTCAGTGCTACTGCTTTCCAAGGATGCCTCTTTCTTCACTAATTGCTACCTATGGAAGTGATACTCATTTCGGCCGTACAGATCCAGAGAGTCTTTGTCCCCACCTCCCTGGTATTTTTTTTTTTTTCTTTTTATTGACTGCCTATCTTCTGGCACATAAGCAATCTGAAAATGGCAAGCAATTCTGATTTACACATTTATTTTAAGTTTGTATGTTAGCATCCAATGGAGATGTTTATTTTTAGAGAATTGTTGATAGAAACTGGGGAGCAGTTTTTGAATGTCTTCTGTTTCCTGAAAGGACACTGGATTCTCCATCAGCTGAGCCACAAATATTGTTCACATTATCTTTCTAGCATTACACAATTCCTTTGTGCTCTTAAGTGCTTCTCAAAATATATAGAACTAATGTTAAAAAATAAACACCTACTGTGATTCAGGTATTGTCTTAGACTTGAACACGAAATGGTAAATAAAACAGTT